TCCGTTAAAGGGTGCATACGAGTTTTCCTTCCTTAACAGAGTCACCCATTAAGGGTGAATACGCTACAACCCTTCATTGTGCACTCCCTTACAGGGGTACATACACTACGAGGGAGATGTATTGGTACAGTTTTTGTTATATGGAAATGGTTTCTCGGAAAAATTTCAATCACCCACGCCATTTTGCAGTTATAAAGCTTCCTTAATTGCCATCAGGGGAACTGATTATTCAGAACTGGGTTAAGTTTCAATGAACCCTAGTACCGTCCCTGGAACAATCCATAACCTAAAATACTGTGGATAAAACATTCACAACCCATAACCTGGCTGAAACAATACGTAATCCCAGAAATTATGGATACAGCAATTTGCAACTGTCCCACAATTTCTTGGCTTTCACGCTTCACAAGTATATTACCGTGGCTAGAACCAACCATAACTAACCCACAATATGACAATTCACAGTTCACAATATCTAGGCTGCAACAATTCGTAATCAACTAACCAATACCATGGCTGGAACAGTTTACAACTGACCCACAATGCTGTTGCTGGAACAATTCACAATTATCCTAAAATACCGTGCTTAGAGCAATTAACCCACAAAACCACTAAAGGTAGAATTAACAACTAGCCCAGAATAACACGTGGTTGGGGAAACCTTGAAACATAACTCATGATACGGCAGCTGGAACTAATCCACAGAGCAGTGGATTGTCAATTGCAAATTAGTTGCAGTTGAGAATTACAATGTAGTTGTGATTTGTTGCAATGGCTGCAACAACTAACTTGCAAAATCATAGCAGGAACCAGTCAATACCATGGTTGTAAACAATCCTAACTCCTATTATACCGTAACTGGAACAATTCGCAACTATTCCACAACAGCTTCAATTGAAAAAAAAATCATAACCAACACAAAATATCGTTGGTAGAACAAATATCATCCACTAACACTGCTAGCACACTTCACAACTAACCCGTAGTTCAGTTGCTGGAACAATTGTCAACACACTGATAGGGTCAACAGGAAGGGTGGTGGAGTGGCGATGTATGTCAGAGAAAATTTAAAATTGCTGTCTTAGACATGATGTAAGATTAGAAACATCGAACACAGAATCTGTTGAATACAGTTTCTCGAGGGTCGTGACAAATTAATTTTGGGTGTGATTTATAGGCCCCCAAACCTTGATAGGGAGTGCAGTAAGCTGTTATGGGACGAAATTCATAAGGCATCTAGATAAGAAAATGTTGTTATAATGGGAGATTTTAACTTTAGACAAATTGATAGGAACAATATGACATGAAATCTTGAGTCTAGTGACTTTCTTGATACGGTTCAGGATTGCTTTTTAGAACAGGTTGTGACAGAACCAACTAGAGGAAAACAATCTGCTTGACTTGGTTCTTGCCAACAAAGATTCACCAACTAATAATCTTGAGGTTAATGATGAGCCTGGGGGAAAGTGATCACAAATCACTTAGTTTCAATATATCATGGAATTACCCAAATAACTGCAACCAAATCACTGTCCCAGATTATCGCTTGGCCGACTTCATGGGACTGAAAAAATACCTGGGTGGGCTAAATTGGGATGTGCTGACTATGGGTCAGGTAGGTGATCTTGGTTGCCAATATGACGTTTTTCAGAGCATAGTTCTAGCTGCCCAGACAACTTTTGTTCTGAGCAGGGAAATTAGATCTAACAAAAATGATCCCAAATGGATGAACAATAGATTAAAACATCTCATTGTTCAAAAGAGAGCCATATATACGCGTATCAAACGAAGGGATGGGCAGTTAAGAAATCAATATATTCAGTTAAAGAGAGAAATAAAGAAAGGAATAAGAAAAGCAAAAAGGGATTATGAGGCTAAGGTCGCAAGGGATTCAAAGACTAGACTGAAAGGGTTCTTTCAGGTATACAGAAGTAAGATTAGGGAAAAGATTGGCCCACTTAAGAGTAACTCTGGTCAGATCACTGACAGTGATAAGGATATGTGTGAAATTCTCAATTCCTACTTCCTCTCAGTTTTCACCCAGGAAAATACTAGCGATATTGCTGAAATAATAGATTATGTAGAACAAGATAATAAACTATGTACAATTGCGGTAACTAGTGACATGGTCCTCAGACAAATAGAGAAACTAAAACCTAACAAATCCCTAGGCCCTGATGAACTGTTTGCAAGGGTGTTAAAGGAATGTAAAGAGGAACTTAGCATACCTTTGGCTAATCTTTTTAACATATCACTACAAACTGGCATAGTGCCTGATAAGTGAAAAATGGCAAATGTAATACCTATTTACAAGGCATGTGACAGGTCCTTGGCTTCGAACTATAGACCAAAAAGCCTTACCTCCATAGTGGGAAAATTTATTAAAACAATAATTGCCGAAGCAATTCGTAGCCATCTTGACAGGCACAGATTGATTAATGAATCTCAACACGGTTTTACAAAGGGGCGTTCCTGTCTTACCAATTCACTAAATTTTTTTCACTAAGGTGTTTGAGGAGGTAGATCATGGTAATGAATATGATATTGTGTATATGGACTTCAGTAAGGCTTTCAATAGAGTTCCACATCAGAGGCTATTGAGGAAACAT